GGCATGTGCGAGAACCATTCGCAGAATGGAGAAAACGTACATCATGGACTCTTCTGCACCATATGCCCTCCGTAACATCCGCCCACAGCTACCAGTGAGCCTTCCAGGTATCTCCAGGGGTTGTTTTAAGATATATGCGCGACAGATGCAGAAGACAGCGTGAAATCGACCGAAGGCGGGTGGAACATCCGACATACGAGCGGCCAACTTAAAACCGGCACCGTGCCCTGCGCGTCATGATCCTGAGCCGGAATATGCAAGAATGAGGTGGTTACATTGAGCAGTCGAGGAGATATCGTCGTCCGAAGTTCCTTTGGGGGCGCTTAGGAGGGGAAAACAGGCAAATGCGCGAGACGCGGCGCGGCGCTCTCACGACAAGCGAGCTGAAACCGGCTGTACTAGCGCGCGACATAGAGCCACCTTCCTCTCGGATGAGTCTTTCACGTACAAGTACTTACCTTCGACGATGGGACTCGGAGGTGCAGGCTAGGCGCCACAAGGCACAGACCCTCGCGGTATGCAGGGGCACGTTCGACGATGTCGTGGACCTCACGAATGTACGTTTCTGTTACGACTACTCACAAGGTTCCGTTTGGACTGAATGTGGCATCGTAGATCCAGGTTCCATTCCTTGAGATTGTCCAAGGGAAGGACAACATCTCTGTACTGGTGTGTCGTTACCTCTCCATGAGGTCTCAGCCCACGCCAAATCATACATAAGGCAACCTGAGCTCAGTGTAAGGGTGGCAGTCACCCTTAGCACGATCAAGCCCGGTAATGTGCACATATACCCGCCGGTGGCTGAGAACGTAACTTCTCAGTTATACTGCCTTTTGGCGTAACCGTTTCGACGGGCGGGTTCGAGCCACCATACACTCAGGGACAAAGGGCAGACGAAGGGCGGGTAACGAGTATGTCATATTCATGTTAATCGGGGTTGTCCCCGCGACAAACAGAATCTCGTCCGTGGTTGGATTTCAAGGATCGCTCTGCGTCGAACGTCAATTCGCGGACTGGTACGCACTGAGCAAGGAGAACGCCCCGTAGAAGCAGCGCTCAACCAATATCACTATGTACTGCAATTCTGCTCTCCAAGGAATGTAGAAAATGCTGTCAGCTGTTATTTGAGCGATGCGTATATAATACAAGTTGTGCAACTTCGTTAGCCCTCGTGAGGTCCGTCCCATGCCCGTTTCTCCGTGAGTTCGCGCGAGCTGTTTAGCGCCGCTATTGGAACAGCAGCGCAGCAGCGACGTCCACATTCCCGCCAGCCGCGTCCAGCAACTGAATCGCGGTGTCCCTCGATGCGCCCAGGCCAATCAGCGTGCTGATGGCCTCTTCCGAATGTCTACTCCGCGCCTGCGATGATGTTGCCGCCTGCTGCCCCACTGGACCTCCCCTTCCCGCACCTACAGGCGCAGGCGCAGCACCCAAGGTGTGTCCTGCCCCAGGGAACGAGCTCGCCCCCGCCGCCGCGCGAGCTCCCGACCCAGACCCACTAGCCGTACCAGCCTCCAGCTCCGCGTGCAATTCTGGATTCCTCGCCTTCTCCGGTAGCTCATGCTCCGGCAGGAACGAAACTTCTCTCCCCTGAATGCGAAGGACGTTCTTTTCGAGGTCGATGCACGCCTGGTGGGCCTTCAGCATGTCAAGCCCGAAGAGAAGGTCGACGGCGCGGCCCTCCATGATTGTGAACGAGCAGGGGAGGTGGAGGTCTGCGAGTTTGAGAGGCGCGCTGTGGACGCGCCCGAGGATGCGGGCTGTGCCGACGCCTTGGGCGATGCCGGAGAAGCGGCGGTCAAGGAGGCGCATGATCCTGTAGAGGCAGGGGTTGGCATGCACGTTCAAATGGGAGGGGGAGGAGTAGATTCATGCGTACCCACATGCTTCCGCAGTCTCCGGATTCACTAGACGATATGCAAAGTGAGATGCGACATGGATAGAGAGCGAACGCCACACGTACTGATCGTCGATTGTGCTCCACTGTCCACGAACGCCTTTACCGGATGGCCGTTCACTTCCACCGGTATACTACACCAATCAGTTCCCCCAACTGCTCGCAAGTCGAAACCCGAGACTTACTAAAGCATTGTCACACGCCCAAACGACTCCGGCGAGTACTCGAGCGCGTGCTCCAAGTTCTCGAGGACGGCCTGCTGCTGGATGGCCTCCTCAATCTTGCGTTGCGCCTCAATGCTGAAGGGATCCGCCTCGAGAAGCATGCGCTCACGCTCGGCCTCCAACTGGACTTCGTGTTGTCGTTGGCGCGTTTGGCGGATGAGCTCGGCAAACTGCGCGGGATTGTTTTGTGCGGCGTCGACTATCTCGGGATTTGTCTAGAGGTTGTCCGATGGTAGAGATGCCATCAACATTTTGGTTGCATGAAGGTGGGAAGGGATGGATGCTTTGGCAGAGGGAACGAAGGACGTACTTGTCGGAGCTGGTTCATGAGGTTAGGATCCCCGAGGAGCTGTAACCGCATCATCTCCGCATCCTGCTCAACGGACCTACGCCCAATACATACATCAATATTGCCCCCCTGCTTTTCGATCAAATGCCAGACAGGAAGAGACGCGCCTGCTTGTTCCCGGGACGTGCACCTTTCTACGGAGCAAGAGCACGGAGTTGTCCCCAACGCCAGAATCTCGCATCGTCGCCTTCGGATCGCGCAAGCCACGGCCCTCATGAGAGAGGCTTTGTTCGCTGATTGGGATGCCGGACTACAGCGCGTATGAACGTGTGCACACAAAGAGGTAGATCAACCGTGCGTACCTCTGCTTCGAGGAGGGCCATGACGTTCTCGAGCTCCATTTGCGGGTCGATCTCGACGGAGAAAGTCTCGCCAAGCTCGGTGACGAATGTTAGGTTCATATTGATGTTGGAACCACTCGAGATGGGTGAGGAGAATGTAGGGGGTGTATTGGGAGAGGACAGAAAGACGGTGGCGTCACCGATCGGGGACACGGGCCGCAGACGCGCGAAACAGAGTCGTCTAAATGCTCAGCAATAATATCTTCGCGTGCGATGTTCGTCGAATCTCTGCTATGAGAAGGTGTGATGGAGTTAAGTGGCGGCGACTTTGTGCGTATCAAGCAAAGAGAACAGGAAGGACTCGGGGTTGTGGTGCTCGAGGGTGAGCGAGCTTATATAGCCAGTGCTGCGAATTAAGCTTGCGTATTCCCCGCGTGCGTGTCCCTTCCCTGTCTACGTCGCTTTGTCAACGTACGGGATTCGTAACCGTCTTTCCCAGCTTGTACGCGTCACCGAGCAGTAGTACCGGCGGTACCGCCTCAGAATCTACGAGAACACGCGAGAGTTGTACAAATGACCGCCAGGCCTGAGCGCCATGGGCGACTTCGTCGCCCGGCCCGGGAAGTCGAGCTTTATTTGCAGGTTGTAGAGACACTACAAAGTTATGTATATCCAAGCAGCTATCGAAACACTACGCGTTAAAGTTGTAGTCGGCACGCCCTGCACAACAGCAAGTACAGAGCTCAACTACGTGACGACCGTCTATTACCCTGTAAACGACTACGCGCGAACGAAGACCTATACAGAGCACTGTCAACCAACGCCTGTACGGATGACAGGCATAAAATACTTACAAACGCGACCCCCCACTCCGCACGTTCGACATATTCGACACGTTCGACATCAGGGCGCTCTCCAATGCAGACTGGGACACGCTCGCATCTGCCGCATTGTCGATTCCGTCAACATGCGCCGGCGAATGATACTGTGAGCATACTGACCACTCAAGTCACTGAAACTCGACGCCTCGCTTCCCGAAGGCGTACCCGCTGCGAGCCCGGCGTGGATCCCCCTTGCGTGCGCCGCCTGTCCCCGCGCGCTGCCAGGCGAAAGCGCAGGCGGAGAGGAGCTCTTCTCCGGGGTGGAGATGTGTCGCCCGACAGGCATAGGCGAGGTCACCCGATGGGGCGAGTGGGGGTCCGAATGCGAATTTGATCTCGACTGGGACAGGGACTGAGAGTGGGACGAGAGCGACTGCGAATGCGACACGGAGCGGGGAGGATTATGATGTACACTCGAGCTCGCGCTCTGGTATGCGATGCAGCCCTGGCTGTGGTGTCGCTGGTGGTTGCGGACGCTATGGATGCTCGTGCTCGCGGTGGGATACTGGTACGCATATTGGTTGTGCGATTGCGCTTGTGGGGAGGGAATGTCAGGTATGGAGCCGTGAGGCGAGTCGACGCTCGCGCTCGACAGACTCTGGTTCCGCTCGCGAGGGAAATCTTGTGCGACGCCTGACGAGGAGAGCGACGCGCTTGTCCGAGACAACGGACGCACCCTGCCTCTATGCCTCCCGCCTACGCTCCCATTGATGCTCCCGTTGACAACTAAGCGCGCAACGGGTTCCGCAACGAGTCCCAACGCGTCCTTGGTCATTAGCTTCTCCAAGGCCGCCAATTTCCGCGCGAGCGCATCCTGCTTCTCTGCCTCCTCCTCCTTCCTCGCCTCCTCGTCGCTCTCGTCCTCTTCATCACTCGTGTCCTCCCCTCCATTCGCGCCGTCCGACGACGACCCTGCACGCGAAGATGCGGGGGATAGCGGGTGCGGCAGCGGCGACCGCGTCCTCTTCGTACCCTGGAGAGTGAGCGTGGATGACGACGAGACCTTCTTCGTCGGCCGTTGATACGGTAGCCCTGAGGTCGGGTTGGTGCTTAGGGGGCTCTGGACGTGCTCGCCCGTGATTGGCGACCTCAGTTGGAGTGCACGTCCATGCGCGTGCCCGAGCGAACTCAGCCGTGCCCGTACGCCGATGTTTGGCCGGAGAGTGCTGGTCCCAGGAACTGTCCCAGAAGTTGAAGCTGTCCCGCCCGCTGCCGTCCCCACCCCATTCTGAGACGACGACGAAGCGAGTCTAGCGCGTGCGGACTCGCGGTGCGGGAGGGACGGACGTTGGGGCTGATCGGGATTGTTCGTGCTCGTGGGCGTGATGCGCGGGAAGTACTCGCCTGGAGTGGGGCCGTTGGCGCGTATAGGCGAGGGAGCGGAGGGAGATGCTGTCGCTGGACTGCGCACTGCGAGTCCTGGTCCGCCGAGGCCTTGAAGTCCACGCAGATCTTCTTCGTAGCGCACTTGGGCGCGGTAGAGGAGGTAGGGCAGGGGAACCTGGAGATGTTGCGCGAGGCCTTTCCCTACACCGGTAGAATCGCACATCAGCAAGATAGCTCGAATTGTGTAGTAGGAAGGGATTGTAAGAGGGTACGGGGATTATGGGGGAGGTCTAGTTACGTACAATCGGTGGCACCGTCTACGGCGCGGCTCTTCGCGATGACCTCCCAGAGGATATGCTCCTTGTCAGCGCTCCATTCTATCTGGACTTGGAAAGGGATGACACGAGATGAGATGGTGAAGTCAGCATGTCAGTACAGTCGAGGCGTCAACCGTTACGGATGTGCGAACGCACTCGAGGAGGATCCGCCGGTGCGTCTTCAGGACGGTTGTAGGGCAGACGAATAATGACGCGAACTGAAGGTGGAGACGGCATGATAACACATGTAGCATACAGCGTTCAGTATAGGTTCAGCGCAGTACCTGAAACAGATCGAGCGAGCGCGGCCGGTGCTGTCCGTGACAGCGACAGCGGAGGAGAGGATGGTGGAGGAAACAAGGAAATGGGCGCCTGTGCTTCTTGCTTCCGGACTGCGTCTGCTTCTGGCTCGCGCCACTATCTCTTCCTGAAGCTTTAAGCTTTGAGATCTCACACGAGTCGCCAACGAGGGTACATAGACCACTCAAGAGCTCACAGGACTGTCGTCATGGTCACTGTACCCGTAAACCCTCCGCCGTTGGGCCGTACACCTCATCAGCAGCGTTCGGACATCGTACGGTGCTTGACCGCATGTTTCCATACCATCTCTCTTCCATCAACATAACCAGTATGGCCGTTATCATGGACAACTACCCCAAGTACGTCTCACCTGCCTTTCTTACCGTCTTGGTGTGACTTGCCCCTAACACTGTTTCATAAGTCAATTGGCGGAGCAGTACGGACACGACGTTGCAGTTTAGACCTAGTGGTGCCCCTACGCCTGAAGGCTCGGCTCATGAACCCATTCGCTCGAACGGGCCGCGCTACTATCAGCGTATTCGCCTGGAGTCGCCGATCCACCTTAGTGACGAATGTGAAGAATCGTCATCCGCTGATAACTCAGACATCCCATCTGATAGTACCCTTGGCGGCCTTTGGATTGCGGACCACGCTTTCCGCGTTGTCCAGGATCTAGTCAGCGACTGCCGTTCTCTGTGCAAGTTCGATCAGATGGTAGGACTTTTTGGGTCGTGCCGTGGGCTCTAATCAGGACCCTCAAGTCATTTTCGGCACTGAAGTCCGTCGACATGGACTACGAGGACAGCTTCCCTGACGCAACTATAAGCGTCGACATCGACGCCGTCGCACGTTCCCCCCTCATCTTCCCGTCTGTCACCTGCCTGCGATTGGCCGGGAGGTCCTTCGCGGAGCTCGGTACTCAGCGTCCGCTCTTTGAGAGTCTGGCGACTACGTTCCCTAACCTGCGCGCGCTGGCCGTGGCGTCCTCTGTCTGACTCGCGAACCTCGACGTCCCGACAGGCCTCGTTTCCCTCACCTTGGATGTGCACACGAGGAAAGGCAGGGTAGGGACGCTGGAAGATTTCGGATTGATTCGATATGGAATTGGGGCTGCCCTCAAGAAGGGACTCCTCGCCGGGCTACCCGCCTGTGCAGATCCCTCATCTGCCATTTCCTCTCCGGGCACCTTGATTGTCTGCACAGGGATAGAGGTGCCACTATGGTGGGAGGAGGCACAGAGGGTCTGTGCCGAGTACGGCGTAAGAGTGAAAAAGGTCGTCGTGTAAATGCACTAAGCCTTCATTCCTGGCTCGGGGGGAAATGTTATTAATTGTCACAGCTCATCGCTATGGTATCTGACGGTCTATGGCTGGCATCCGGGTGACTCATCGATTTTGAATACGGACCAATGTCTCGATACGCCTCTCCATACACTGCAGAGCGTCCGAATGTTGATGATGAGGTACAAGAGATCACGTTCAAGTCCCTACTACTGCTCTTCCTGTTGTAAATTCCGTGACCAGGAGCCGTAGAGCAACGCTAGCTAGCTCCACCTCAACGTGATATGATAACAAGATCGCCGTCCTACCAACATTCATGATCTCGAGCTCATAATGTACATGTTCGGCATATGACCTCAAGCCGCAGTCGACGCAGAGTTCTGCTAGGCAATCACATCTTTCGCCGTGCACAATACCTGAAGTTTAACGGACGAGAGATAAGAACTAGCATAATTTATTTGAGCGTGGACATGACGTACCTCTCCAGGATGGATGTTGTTGCACTCGCTATTGACGTTGGGGTTGTTCTCCAGGAGGATATCGAGGGTCGTCCCGGCAGCCTCCGCAATAGACTCACAGGTATCGCCGTTGGCGACAACATGTGTGACCTCGCAGTCCTGTCCGACAATGCCGAGGCACAGCTCCTGCAACGGAATCGTGAGTGGTGCAGGCTGAGCACTTGTACCCCACACTACACACCTCTCCAGCTCTCAGGTTAGTGCAACCCGCATTGATGGTCGCTTTGTTCACCGTGGCAAGCTGGAAGCTAGACACGTTCTCCTTGCCAGCGATCTCGTCACAGGTGTCCCCTGAGACGACGGTGTAGTTACGGGCGCAGTTGGAAACCTGCGCATTTACCGCTGCAATCGAAGCCAGTCACCAAAGCGGATTTCGGGTGTCACAGTAAACTTACAGCTACAGACGGCAGCGACAACGATGACAGCGACGATGGAGCGGGGAAACATGGTTGGGATGAAGAGGAGCGAGGAGGGTGAAGAGAACGGTGTTGCCGCGAACCAAGTAACGGAGAGCGGTGGGGATAGTGCCTGCTGGTGGGGTGCTTTTAACTGCCTGGTTCACGTTGCATTCGGCATTGTGCTAGATGACCGGCCTGAATAGCAATGACCCACTTGAGATAGACTTACGTACCGCAGGATCCCAAAGGTTAGAGTCGATGAGCATCGAAGTCTCCAACGGTAGCCGTTTGGGAACGGCGCACACAAAGAAGTGTGTCGCTACTCCTGACCGCAGTCGGAGACGTCGCCGGGCTGTTGATAGTCAGACTATTCCTGGCCACTGAAGTGGCCCAGGACTCAAGTCCAGTAACTGCAAGTCCCGGAGGGTGGTGCCAGCTGGCAGGGAAGGTGTGTCAGATGGTCATTTTACTAGGACCTCCAACACTCCAGTGATTCTCGCGGATATGTAGTTAACTGTTGCAGCTACTGTGTGATCCTTTATGGTAGTTGATCACCAATAGGGGAGGTCAAAGTGGGCCTCGATTCTGATTCGATTCTGGTCAGAAGCGTCTCAGAATTAGAGTCAGGTTTGACCTACCCCCTTCATGCACACGGGAACCATGATGAGAAATGTAGAATACAACTAGAGGAGAAATCAATAGGAACGGTGACTGACTGAGCATGCTATTCATGAACCAATCATTGTCATGTAGCCCACGACGACGCTCGACTTCAAACGCCCTGCCTTGCTTGAGCAATTCGCAGTCACCCTTGTGAAGTGAGGCTTTCCAGTCTTCTTTCTGGCACTGGAGAAAAGGTCTCAGGTCCACCGGGAAGGCGTTATCTCGCGCTACTGACCTCTTTCGAGCAATAGTACCGCGCCTGTTGAACTTGGACTTATCCGGTCCGGACTACACGAGGCTATGCGTCTCCTAGCGCTTAGCTGTAGTCGCTTATGTAGTATGTTACCATATTTGGGACTCTCTGCTCGTGTACTATAGCTATGCTTCCGGACTCTTCTGGTACTGTCTAGGACAATCCGTACTACTCCAGAACGGTCTAGACAGGTCTATGCCTTACTCATCTCTTACTCATCCTATGGTGCGATACGTCGCAATTCTTTCGTCATTGTATTATTCATCGCACTATGGTACATGTGACTAACCACTCTT